ACTTGGACTTTAATAGGAATTATGAGGGGTGATTTTGGGCCTTTGCTGGCCAGGAATTCTAAGGCAACAGCAGCCCTTCCAGGGATTTCCTGGTCAGCATTCACTTCTTTGGCCTGGTTAGGGAAAGACTGGCTGGGAAAGTATTGGAGACTCAGGAACCCACCTTATACATCCCCACTTGTCTGCCTTTCCCTCTCCCTGCAGGAGATAAGACTTTAGCCTGCCCCCTTGTGAGAGCTAAGGCTGGGCCAAGGATGAACACCAGCTGCTAACTGCATTAAACCTTTCCAAGTTACCGTTGGGTTTCCTCAACCTAAATGTGAAATACTATGTTTTAGAGAAAACACGCCTTCAACTTCATAAAGTTTTGCCAAATTGTCCTCATGAATTGTTACCCCAATTCACACTCCCACCTGTAATCTATGAGTTCTTGCTTTCACACATCCTTGGCAACATCTGGTGTTTGCAAACTTTATTTTTTCCAATCTGATGAGTGTGAAGTGGTGTCTAATTTTGGCTTTAATTTGCATTTTTTCACTATTGAGCATCTTTTCATGTTTGTTGGTCATTTGGGTTTCCTCTTCTGTGAATTTGCTCATATTATTTGCCTTAAAAAAAAAAAAACTTGTTACACAAAAAACTCCCTGATGTTAGGAGTACTTTATATATTACTAGTGCCCTGATGCACGAATTCATGCACATTGAAAGGAAATTAATTAGAAGGTGGCTGGTGGGGCAGGACTGGGCGAGACAGGCCGGACACACCCCGGAGCCAACCTCCTGCTGTCCCTCCCCAGCCGGCCGCACCTGGGGCGGCGCTGTGGCTCGAAGGGCATCTGTGGAGTGACCGGGGTCCCTCCAGCAGGTGGGGTCCCTCAGCCTGGCCTGCAGGGATCAGGCTGAAACTGGCTCTCTGACATTCACCTCAGGGGTCCCAGAGTGCAAGAGGGCACTCTGCAAAGTTGCTGTCCCTCAGCAGTTCCTGCATTGTCTGCCCCCTGGTGGTCAGTGTGAGTCATACCTACCGGCTAGTCAGACAGACAATCGCTTAGCCTTTTATATATATAGATGAGGACTAGCCTTTTGGTTGGTGCTATATGTTGCAATACCTTCTCCCAATCTATGGCATTTTTATTTTGTTCATGGAGTCTTTTACATAAAGAAGTTTTATGTGCCCAAATGTATCAGACTTTTCCTTGATACAGCATGGGTTGCATATCTTCCTTAAGAAGTATTTCCTATCCTGATGTAAATGTCTCCTATCATTTCTTCTAAAAGTTTTATAATATTTTCTTTGAAATTTAAATCTTTGATCTATCTACAGTTTACTTTTGTGTACAGTTTAAGATAAAAACACAATTTTATTTTTCCCATATAAATAACCAACTGCCCTAATACTGTTTGTTGAATTGATTTGTAATGTCACTTTTAACATTCATACTTGTGTGTCACTTTATGCCCACTTTTCTGTTACATATTTTATGTTTGTTTTTTATCTTTGCCTAGACCAGTGGTTCTCAACCTTCCTAATGCCGCAACCCTTTAATACAGTTCCTCATGTTGTGGTGACCCCCAATTTCATTGTTACAAATTGAACATAATTAAAGCATAGTGATTAATCACAAAAACAATATGTGACCCCTTAGGCGACCCCTGTGAAAGGGTCGTTCGACCCCCAAAGGGGTCGGGACCCACAGGTTGAGAACCGCTGGCCTAGACCAATACAACGGTGATTAGATTTCTGTAGTTTTATACTAAGTATTAATAACTAAAGGGGAAGGTCCTCCTCTTTTGTTCCTCAGAATTGCTGAACTATTCTTGGCCTTTTGTTTTTCCATGTTAACTTTAGGATCAGCTTCTCAAGTTCCATGAAAAGCCTTTTGAGGATTTTTCTTGGAGTTGCAGTGCACTATAGATCAATTGGAGTATTGCATCCAGGAAGATGGTTCATTGTTCCTTTCACTTGGGTCTTCTCTTATTCCAGTGGTTCTCAACCTTCTGGCCCTTTAAATACAGTCCTCATGTTGTGACCCAACCATAAAATTATTTTCGTTGCTACTTCATAACTGTAATGTTGCCACTGTTATGAATCGTAATGTAAATATCTGATATGCAGGATGGTCTTAGGTGACCCCTGTGAAAGGGGCGTTTGACCGCCAAAGGGGTCGCGACCCACAGGTTGAGAACCACTGTTTATTCCCTTTACTACAGGTTTTCAATATTCACCTTCTCTATAAATCTCTTGCTTTACCTTTTCCTTTAGATTTGTTTAGTTTTTGTTACTGATACAAATGGGATTTTTTATTTTATTTTAATTGGTTTGCTGGTGAACAGCAATATTCATTTTAAACTAGAACCTTATATCTTCAAAGTAATAACATTGTCAATATATATTATCTGTGATACATATGTCTGATGTCCGTTGAAATCTGTTCTGTGGCCTAGCACATAGCTAATTTCATCAGTCTTCCCTGTGCTCTTGAAAAGACTTTCTTTTTGTGCAGGGTTTTGCCCATGTCCATTAGATCAGGCTTGTAATTGTTCATTGTCCAGTCTACAGTCTCACTAAATGTTTTCTGCCCCATCTGTTCATTGTATGATCGTGGATCTGTCCATTCTAGAAATCCTGTGATCTTTTGCAATCCTCATATGGAGACTGAGATCACAATTATTACAGCTCCCTTGTGAATTTTTCCTTTATTACTATTAGGTAATAACTTTTTGTTGCTAGTAATTTTGCCATAAAATTTTTTTCTGATATTAGTATAGCTTTGCCAGTGTTTTTGGTTTATGGTTTGATTAATGTAGCAGCTCAGGATGTGTGTAGCTGCAAATAACAAAAATTGACTACAGTTTCTTAAACAAATGAGGAAGGGTCTTTTTTCTCTGATAACAAGATCAGAGATGGATGTGGGTCCATCTGCTTAGGAACCCAGGTTCTTTATACGTTTCCATTCCCCTTTCACAGTGCGGGCCCTTCCTTCCTCCTGTTTTCTCCCTGTGAGTTTTGTGGGATGGGCGTAGGGGCGTGGGCAGAGGGGAAGAAAGGGTATGAGAACAACCTTTACTGTCAGCAGTGCAAGGTACAGGACCCTGTTTCAGCCTGTGTGGACATGTTTGCTGTTTCTCGTGTTTGCTGTTTACCCACATTGTGTGAAAGTTCTTTAAATAGAAGGTGGAATCTGCTCTTCCTGCGATGAAATGTGACAGTCGCCCTTACAGATGAAGTCACTGGGCAGAAAATGCTTCTATTGTCTCTTAGCGCCAGAGCAGGTTAATGCTCAAGTCTGAGTAAGCAAAATGGCATAATGGCCAGCAAATAGTCATACACTTAGATTTCAAAGCATTCATGCAAAATAAGAAGTTATGTTTTAGCACGTTGAGTTTTTCTATTTAGGAACAGTTAGTATATATATTCTCTCAAAAGATAGTGCCATCATTTTCTGTAGTTTTCCAGAAGACTGATTAAATGTATTTTCCATGAAACCTGGCATCACTTTGTGTCATTGGTGAGGCTGTCAGGTAGCCCTTCTAACCCAGAAAATGTGACTTCAGAGTCCCCCATCCTGTACCCCTTTCTCTGAAACTTCTGGTCCATCTGATTTCTCCTCCGATCCTGCCCAGGACCATTAGGAGGGGTGTGGAACCGTAGTGCCTCTGGTTTGCATTTATAGCCTTCAATGTCTGCAAAACAAGGTGGTCTGTTTCCTTTTTGTCTTTAAAATGATTAGCCATATTCGATGGGTCCAGTGTTTCACAGGGGACCACTGTAACAATATGTTAATATACTTCATGTTCGCTTTGTGCTAAACATTAGTAAAGCATTTGTCCACCTATTTCGTTTAGCCTTCCTTAGAAGCTAAGAAGCAAAGAATATCTGTCTCCATTACAGATAAGAAACACAGCCTTCAGAGCTCAAACTATAAAAGAATGCAGTGTCAACAATAAAAAAAAATTTTTTTTTTAAAGAATGCAATCACTGCATTCAAAACAAGAGATTTTTTTTTTTTTTTTTTTTTTTTTTTTTTTACCTCAGAAGTGTTGTTTTGAATTCTTAGACTAAATTGCACAAGCAGAGCCTGGTGCCACATGAATACTTGTTGAATGACTATCTCTTAGTTGCATTTTCTTTTAGGCACTGAAACTGCTAATCCAGCTCTGAATGCCCTTGTGTCGCCATTAATCCTTGTCTAACACAATAGTGTTAAACAGAAACCAGGTGTCTTTTCATTGAAGGACATGGAAAGTGTTTCTTGTATGAGACCAAGCACTGTGAACATACTTTTCCCGTGTATGTTGTTTTACACGGTCACCTAATAAATTTTGTACATTACTTATTCATCATATTGAAATATAAGAACTCTTGAGAAGGAATTTTTTTAAAACAAATAGGAATTCCATTCCACTGTTTTGGTTTTTAAATATATTTTTGTTGATTTTAGAGAGGAAGAGAAGGAGAGAGAGATAGAAACATCAATGATGACAGAAAATCATTGACCGGCTGCCTCCTTCACACCCCCTACCTGGGATTGAGCCCACAACTCAGGCATGTGCCCTGACCAGGAATTGAACCATGACCTAGTTCACAGGTCGATGCTCAACCACTGAGCCACACCCACTGGGCTCCATTCTACTGTATTCAGATTTTTCTCTATGACTTCTCTTTTACATTTGACTGAAACTATTCTTGCTGTGTTTGAGGCCCCTTTCTGGTCAAAAAGAGCCTGTATCTTTCTGACTTGTTGCCCTTTACAACTTTACATTTGAAAACTTATTTTTTTATTATTCTCCGCACAATAATCATCCCAATTTTCTTAATGTTTTTTTCTCACAGATTTTCAACTTCTAAGTTATCTTAGTGTTTCTCTGAGCTATTCAACTCCATCTCAAATTTGAAAGCTCCTATTACTATTGTAATGATGTGATCATTCCTGTTTTCAAATTTGAATTAAGTTAAACTTAGGTGTTGTTGTGTAAAGTGCTCTAAAATAATCTTTCAGCCACGGAAACAAAGAAGTGTTTTCCTGCCGAGGAATAAAGTTGGCAGTGGACTGGTTTTTGGAAAGAGGCCACCGAGACATCACTGTTTTTGTTCCTGCCTGGAGGAAAGAGCAGTCCCGGCCTGACGCTCTCATTACAGGTGAGCCCCCCAGCTCTGCTCTCGGTCCCCACGAGCACCGGCACTGCCCACTCTCCCACTGAGCATCGTGTCGGCCCGTTTCTGTTTCCTCAGACACTGTGACTGCCCCGGTGCCCTGGGTGGAAAATTAACTTTAATTTTATGTTAACTACACAGTCATCCTTGCTACATAAGCTGAGTTTTTGTTTTGTTTGAATTTTGAAACTTTTTACTTCAAATTTTGTGAAATTCTGACTTTAGAGACATGCTAGGTGTCAGGAGATTTAGATTCAAATTCCGCCTTTGCATTTACTAGCCATAGGACTCTGAGCAACAGACACAACCTCTTTGGACCATAATTTTCTCATCTATAAAAATTAGACTAGGTGACAATCAAATTATAATGACTACAGATCAAAAAATATCTGAGACTCAGGATATGCTGTCTGGTATCAGGTGGAAGGAAACACTCTATCCCAATAAAGTATCTGTGTTTTGCATTATTCTGTAATTTCTAAATGTCTGAGTCTCAGCCAAAAATGTCCACTGTGCCTGCTAATTATTGCTGCTGAACATTTTGCTCAAGTGAGTCTCACTGCTCCCTGCACCTCCAGCATGAGCAAAAACTGAGGAACTGGGTGAAGAAAATGCACTTCACAACCAAAAACAAATGGACAGACCACTTACCATTTCCCTGGTCTCATTTTAAGACTTTATTTTTATCTATAATCCTTAAATCCCTAAAAATAGATATGAGTTCTGGTGGGGAGTCCAGAGCCAAGGAATCAGACCGTGGCCTGTGGAAATTGTAAGGTGGGAGAGGTAGGCATAATTCATCCAGTAGTACCAAGACATTAGATAACTCTTTGGGAAAAATACACATATTTACATCTTTATCTTACATCATATGGCAGTTAATTCCAGGTGGTTGAAGAATTAATTGTCATAAACTTAAACCATTAGAGACTATAAGTAGTCTTTGAATGGCTAGGGAGAACTATCTAAATTTAAAATTTTTTAAAGAAATTATAAAGGAAAATATAGATTTAATTGCATCAAAATTTAAACTTCTGTATTTGGAAAACTTGCCTAAAAAAATGAGAAATCTTTTTTATTTGACTAAGAAAAAAAAAATACAACCAGTAAATACAGAACCCATGTTCTTAGAATATAAGGAGCTCATATGCATTGATAAAACAGGTTTTTTGATATATAAGTGGTACTAGGGAAGGAATAGACAGCTTGCAGAAGAAAGCAAGTGCCAAATAAGAGAAAAAAGGGTTCGCCTCATTAGCAATTAAAGAAATGTAAATTTAAGCAGAGTCCACACAAAGATTTCTAACCACAAAGATATTTAGTTCAATATTATAGTAGAAAACAATGAAAACAAACCATGCATTCTTTAAAAGAATGGTTCAGCTAGCCGGTTTCTCAGCAGTTAGAGCTTTGGTCTGCAGATGGAAGGGTCTCGGGTTTGATTCTGGTCAAGGGCACGTACCTGGGTTTGCAGGCTGGATCCCTCTGTGGCATTTGAGAAGGCAACCAATCCATGTGTCTCTCTCACATCGATGTTTCTCTCTCTCTGTCTCTGCCCCTCCCTTCCACTTTCTCTAAAAATCAATGGAAAAAAATATATCCTTGGGTGAGGATTAACAAAAAAATAAAAGAATGGTTCAATAAATTAGTATATATTAATAGGATCGAATATGTATTAGAATATTAGGCAACATTTTTAATGACCTGAGGAAGTACTCTTTTACATACAAGGCAGGTTTTATTACTGTGTGTATGTGTATACACACATATACATACATATGTACATATATAAACGGAGAGAAAAAATACGCAGAAAATAACTGGAAAGAAATATGCCCCAATATTAACAGTAATTGAACTGAAAAGAAACAAACAATATTTAAACATGAAAATGACTGGCATGTCTCTTGAGCATAGAAAGAATATGAGATCAAGAAGGGAAACAGACTGCCCAGCCGGCATGGCTCAGTGGTTGAATGTCAACCTAAGAACCTGGAGGTCATGGTTTGATTCCTGGTCAGGCACATAACAAGGTTGTGGGCTGAATCCCCCGTGTGGGGCGTGCAGGAGGCAGCCGATCAATGATTCCCTATCATCATTGATGTTTCTATCTCTCTCTCGCTCTCCCTCCCTCTCTGACATCAATAAAAATATACTTTTTTAAAAAAGAAGGTAAAGGATAATACACAGTGCGGGTTGCGCCCAAGTTTAGTGTTTGAAACACCGGCACGTGCCTCTGGAACCCTTAGTATGCAGCGGACTCTGAGCGCACACACCAACTGTCAGGGGTTGGGTATTTCCTCCAGGGTAACCATCCTCCTGACTAAAACTGGGCAATTGAATAGTCCCATATTTCTCACTGTAGCAAAAAAATAAATGAACTTGATAAGAAATGTTTTTAAGTTCTCAGATCTAGATTCAGACCAGCTCTTTTGCCAGTCAGTCTTCCATTGATTTTATCAAATATTTAACAAGCAAGTACTCAGCTGTGACTTGGGTACTATGCTAGGAACTAGAGATTCCATTAACTTCCTGGCTATACTGACCCAATATTTAAGTTAGGGTTACTTATCCTAACTAGTTGTCATCTAATCAGTGATCACTAATTACCATCCTAGTTAGTGTCCTGTTTTTCTCGTTAGCTATTAAGGAAACAAGATGATGGCCACCACACTGGTTCCTTCAGGCACTTTAGTGAGGATCCAGGCATGTCTTATATGACTAAACACACCTACAAATAAAGTACAGTGGGTTATTCATGAACATAAATAAACTGGAAGACCTCTGAATGGACATGGTTAAGTAGCTCATGTATTCGTTCGCAGACATTATCTATTGATGTGCTGATTGCTGGTGGAAGCAGAGATCAATGAGACATGGCACCTGCCCTTAAAAAGTTTGTCCAAGGAACACAGAAAATAATTCTAAAGTGACAGATCCTGTAGTTGAGACTAGGCTCTTAATTTTGTATTGGTTTTCTGTTACTTTTAAAAGAGAGCAACAATTACATATATCTATTAAACAACATTAAGTAAAAGAACACAGCGTTCATTGAGAGCTTTCCAGGCACTATGCTAAGTGCTTCTACGCATAGTAACTCACTGGCTCCTTAGAGCCCACCAGCTGCGTTTGACGACACGAAAAAACAAGCGCAGTAGGACTGATGCCATATACATACAGCAGCAGAACCTGAGATTCAGCCTGGACTTGCTGACTTCAAAGCCCACATTTCTTCCACTCCTCTGCTGCTTTTCTAAACCAAAGTTCTGGTCTCCGTGAACTTTGGCACTTTATCAGGAGCATCATGAGATCTATCTGCCAGTCTCAGAGCTAGTTGACCCGTATTGCTCTTCCATCCCACTTCCCTCATACCTTGCTCGTCCTTCTGTTGTGGCAGTTACAACCCTTGTTACTATACTGATTTACATGTTTACCCAATCCAGTACCTGAGACCTCCTGGAGGGGAGGTCATTATTAATCTTGGTGGTCATTAACACTTAGCATAGTATATGCCATCGAGTAGGCATGTAGTGATTGTCTGCTGAAGAGACAGAAGTTTATAAAATTAGTAACTCCAGTTAATTCACAAGTTGTTCGGTCATGTTTAAGTTTTATGCTTTTAATTTTTCTTAACTTTTAAACGTTTTTGAAGTTTTAAATGTTTTATATTTTTAAAGTTCATTTGAGGGGGACTATTTTTAAAGCTTTTTCATTAGAAATCCTGAAGGAAAAATATTTGGAGTTTCCAATTTGCTACATCCATAAGCTGTAAAATAATAATCCCTAATGAAAGGATTACATATATCCAGTTTATCTTATAAAATCTCACATTGTGTGAAGTTGCTACATGTGTTACGTATGTATTTATTCCTGAAATTCTACCCTGCAGATCAAGAAATTCTTCGTAAATTAGAGAAGGAGAAAATCCTGGTGTTTACACCGTCCCGGCGAGTCCAGGGCAGGCGGGTGGTGTGCTACGATGACAGGTTCATCGTGAAGCTGGCTTTCGAGTCCGACGGTATAATTGTGTCCAATGATAACTACAGGGATTTGGCTAATGAAAAACCAGAGTGGAAGAAGTTCATAGATGAGCGATTATTAATGTATTCATTTGTCAATGACAAGTGAGTAAAACCATTTACTTACACGTAATACTGCTTTCCTGAATTATGATGATGAAAAGCTATTAAACATTGAAGCATAGGTTAAAGACAAAGCATAAAATTTGTGTTTGTAAAATGGAGTATGCATACAGAAAAATGACTAAAATGCAACACATAAGTGAAATTAATTGTATTAAGATTGTAGGATTGAGTGACTGTCTTCTATTTTAAACTTTTAATGTTGCCATATTGTTCTTATATTAATATTTGCTAAGTGTTACTAAGTGTCTTAAGGTTGACACCCCCTTAAGAGTTCATAAATTATTCACATTTTATGGGTAAATACTTGGTTTCTTTCAAGTTCAAACAGTAACTTAACTAGTAACAGAACTTTACAGGCATAACTGCTTTTCATTATGCACACTATGAATTCTTGCTTCCATTGGACAGTCGATCCAATGTTTATTTTCTTAAGACATTTTCTACATCAGCTGAGAAGCACCTGAGAAGAGTGGGAAGGGAATGGACTGTGGAGTTAGACATCTTGGCTGCACCATGTGAACTTAGATGAAAGTAACTTCATTTACCTAAGCCTGAATTAGAAAAGTGCATTAACCTGCAACGCAGCGCTGATGCTGCAGGGATCCTGTTAGCATGAAGCGAGATGACGCGTGCAGATTCCGACTTGCGAGGCGTCGTCAGCTGCCGTCCTCCGTCCGTCTATACATCATCTCCCTTCTCTTCCTCAGCAGCCCCCTCGGCGCTCCCCACCTGTTTCTACTGCTTCACAGCATTGATGTTTATAAAACTCTCTTAAAATGTCCTTGGGATTGTTTTCTAAAATCCTTACGAATTCCCAAGATTGAGAGGAAGGAAGAAATAATTAGAACATGTTTGACTCAAAGCTTATTTGATTAAAACAAATAGGAGTTTAGCCTGAAACATTTTAATTTTGTTATTATCCAGAGAACTTAGTGCACTGATATTTTCATCCTGTAAATGTTGAATCAAAGTATTTAGATTAACATTGAAAAAAAATACCTTAGAGTAATAAATCTTTGCACTGTCTTTAGAATTAAATGATCAACTTCCTACTTAAGTATAACTTTGTATTTTATTCGTGACAGGTTCATGCCCCCTGATGACCCTCTTGGCAGGCACGGTCCGAGCCTGGACAATTTTCTGAGGAAGAAACCTATTGTTCCCGAACACAAGAAGCAGCCTTGCCCATATGGTAACTTGCTTTATGAGTATTTAATATCTGCCTTTAGAGCACAGTATGTTGTTAAATTTTTAATAATCATTTTTAATTTTGGATGGCATAGTGTTAGTTCTTTTGTTTGTAATTAAACTTAAGAAAACATTCTAACCATGAAAAAGTAATTATTTTTACCTAATTGGCTTCAATGCCAGTGCATCACCCAAAACTCAGTTTCGAAAACTCAGTTCATTCTACATGAAGTTTTCAGGTAGATCAGAATTTGGAGTTCTTACATCTAGATACACATCAGAACAGAAAGGCTTCATCACATTACAGTAGTACTTTCTTTTTTTTTTTTCCAGAATGTCCTACCTTATTATAAAGTCATCCTGGAAGAGAATGGGTAGGTCGGAGTTGAGGACACAGGGTATTAACCCGAAACTCTGGAGGCGATCATTAGTCATTCGGCCAGCTTCTTAGCGCTGTTGATAGAGGGGGACTGCAGGTGGCATTTCTCAGAAGTGAGGAGCACTGGGTGTGCCTCAGTTTCTGCCTTTGTTTCTTTCACTAGTCCGAGTCGTCGTGCCAGGCTGAGCGCTGGGGACCTGGGGCGTGCTCCTTCCCTAATTCATCTTCCTCTTTGCAGGAAAGAAGTGCACCTATGGGCACAAGTGCAAATATTATCACCCGGAAAGGGGCAGTCAGCCCCAGCGGTCGGTGGCCGATGAACTTCGTGCCATGTCAAGAAACACGGCTGCCAAGACTGCAAACGAAGGAGGACTGGTGAAAAGCAACAGCGTCCCCTGCAGCACCAAGGCTGACAGCTCTGCCGACGGCAAGCGAGGCGCCCCAAAGAGGCAGTCGGACCCCAGCATCAGGACTCAGGCCTACCCAGACCTAGAGGAAAAGCTTCCCACCAAAAATAAATTGGAAACCAGGTCTGTACCCTCCTTAGTGAGTATACCGGCTACTTCTACTGCAAAACCCCAAAGCACTACATCTTTAAGCAATGGCCTTCCATCTGGAGTTCATTTCCCACCTCAGGATCAAAGACCACAGGGACAATATCCTCCAATAATGATGACAACCAAAAATCATGGAACGCCAATGCCTTACGAACAGTACCCCAAATGTGACTCCCCTGTTGACATTGGGTATTATTCCATGTTGAATGCATATTCAAATCTGAGTATCTCAGGCCCACGAAGTCCTGAAAGGCGTTTTTCCTTGGACACAGATTATAGGATCAGCTCTGTAGCCTCTGACTGCAGCAGTGACGGGAGCATGAGCTGTGGGAGCAGTGACTCGTACGTGGGCTACAACGACCGGTCCTACGTCAGTTCTCCCGACCCACAACTCGAAGAGAATTTAAAGTGTCAGCATATGTACCCTCACAGCCGCCTTAATTCCCAGCCCTTCCTGCAGAGTTTCCACGACCCCTTAACCAGAGTGCAAAGTTACAGTCACGAAGAACCAAAGTACCATCACAAGCCGCCTCTTCCCCACCTGGCTGTGCACCTGCAGCACCCAGCGGTGGCAGCCCGGTCCAGCTGTCCTGGCGAGTACCCCTCTCCGCCGAGTTCAGCACACAAGGCACCACACCTGGGGCGGTCCTTAGTGGCCACGAGACTAGACAGCATTTCTGACTCTCGGCTGTATGACAGCTCTCCTTCAAGACAGAGAAAGCCTTACTCCCGCCAGGAGGGGCTGGGGAGCTGGGACAGGCAGGGGTACGGGATTGACGCCTACGGCTACCGGCAGACCTACTCCTTGCCTGACAGCTCCACGCAGCCGTGCTATGAGCAGTTCACCTTCCAGAGCCTCCCTGAGCAGCAGGAGCCCCCCTGGCGGATTCCGTACTGCGGGCTGCCACAGGATCCCCCGAGGTATCCGGACAACCGAGAGAAGATCTACATCAACTTGTGCAACATCTTCCCACCTGACCTTGTGAGAATTGTCATGAAAAGGAACCCTCACGTGACAGACGCCCAGCAGCTAGCCGCAGCCATTTTAGTGGAGAAATCGCAGCTGGGCTATTGAAAGATGATGCATCTTTGTGGTGTTTAGTAGTTTTTTGTTCAGCTCAAATGCTGAGGGAGGTTTGCTACAATAGCACATGTGATCTCCTTCTCAGCAAGGAGGTTATATAGTATCCATTTATGTGAAATACTGTATCATGGAACCTGTATGTATAGCCCCACATAGTGGAAGTATCACGGGATTGCTTCACATTCAAACGTTTTTTTAACATTTCCTTTTTAAAGCTATATCCTTGGCTGGAAATTTTTCCAGTTTGATTTATTAGATGTGATCTTTGATATTAATCTTTGGTGCATCAGGGGTTTATATGCAGCACTTTTTATCCTTATTTCATGTTTTATTAACTTGGTGTTTCTCTATCAATTGCAAGCAATTACAATACCTTCAGAATGTTGAACATTTGACTAGACCTAGCAAACTATTTTTTCAAGCCAAGCTTAATTGAATCTTTTACAGCTTTTTAAGTTATTTTTATTTGGGGAAAGTGGGCTTCTTTGTGCTATAATCATTATTTATAGAAACAAAGATATACTACAGCACTGACTATATTTTAAACAAATGTAAGTTACCAGTTTATGTTGAAATGGGTAACAGTATATACTAGAATGATTTATAATATGGCACTTTTTATTGTTTTATTTTTGTTCAGATTTTTTTTTTGTCTGTTACGTAATTAGTTAATTTAATATGGCAGATTTGAAGGAAAGCAGATGCAATCAATGGGAAAAAAATGTTTCCATTTTTATTTTATGAATAAGGCAAAAGCCGTAACTTACAGTTTCGAGCTTTGCAATCCAGCTATGATGTGCTTCTAGATAGTAGAAATGGAATTGAATTCCTAGATTTCCATTGACCTGTATTTTTAATGTGTTTGTCTTTTTGTTTGGGGGCACAACAAAACTGGATAAAGTAACCCTTTCGCAGTACTTGCCTGTTTTTAATGAATCTAATTATTCTCAATGCAACTTTTATATTTAATATACTCTCTAGCTTTCCTGCTGTTTATCAAGGCTGGCCTGAGGTGGTTTTATGTGTTGAGAATATGCAACACTTATTGATACTGCACTATGGAAATGGCGATGGAGGAGTTGTAAATGGTAACTTAACATTTTTGTAAGATACTGTATATTTTCCATTTTCCTGAAGGTTGTTTTATGGGGGGGGGGGGGCCTATTATATTATTAAGGCCAGATTCTTGCCACAAATAGTGTAGTTTTAGATACAGACTAAAGTCTGTTTTAGTATTAGTAAGGGATATTTCTGGTTTCAAAGTCATGGGTTTTGCTAGATGCTAATTCATTTTCATCAGTTAGAAGGTAGATACTGCGATCAGTGGCAGACAGTTGTGTGATTGGTATGACTTGCCTGTTGCCTCCAGTTTTTGAATTTTACGTAGTGAATGACTCGTTCCGATCTGTTTCCTCAGTCTGCCAAGATGCCCTGGGTATTCTGATTACTCCACATGCTACAGTTCGAAGGAAAACCCTGAAAAACCAGAAAGTACCTTTTACTGTTGATACAAATTGTATCTTTTTAACTATAAGAACTTTTTGATTTGTAGATCTAGTTAAAACACAAAAGTGTAACATGATTAGACTTTTGGGCAACATTTTATCCCTTATTTAAATACAAATTTTTTTAAGTAAAATTGAGATCTAGAATAGGGTAGAAAATTAAAGTAACAATTTAGGTAAATAAAAGTGTCTGTCCTAGTTTTATATAATATATTAAAGTATATTAAATAAATTTATTGGCATTTTCTTTCTCCTAAAAACATCTAGCGTGAACTTAAAATAAAGATAAAATGCTGCCTGAAAATAATGTCCAAGCACCTTTGACTAGGATAACATTTTCACTACTTGTGTGACACTGTGTGTTGCATGAAGTAGGGTTTGGGTATACAGTAAATGCTTCTAAAAGGCATTGTGCATATTGACATATCCAATAATCTGAACCGTGTTCAGCAAACTTAACCCAGGAAAGTGGTGTTCTACACAGTTGCTGCTGTTGTTGTTTGAAGCAAGTGTGGCTCTCGTCTGTAACTAGAAAGAATGCGAAGGAAGCCACACACCATTCCGGGCGGTGTCTGCCAGGGCGCCCCCTCGCCTGTGAACCTGTTCTCCTTGTTTCGTGGTCACGCTCTGTAGGACAAGCTTAGATGCAGAGGCGAAACCAGTGCCAAAATAGGGTTACAAATGCATGGTACCTTTTATCTCAGTCATATTCCAAGTCTTTTTCTTATTTTTTAGTGTGAAATCACTTTTAAAATGTACATGTAGTTTTTGCTTCCATTTTCTTAACTTTAATATCTCAATTGTTTGGAGATGCTGGCAAACATTACTCAATTTATTTAAGTGAGATTTTAGGTGAAATGTATATCACACCTTTAATTGTACCTTCTAAATGTTTTTAGCTAACTATCTGTCATTGCTTCATGGATTTTAGACTATGGGGAATGGGGGGCTTGCCGCGCCTGTCCTGAGTGGAGAGCTCTGAGCTGCCCACACTGAAGCCCTTCAGTGTAAGTGTAAGTGAAGATACAGCCATTTTCTTATGACGAGAGGACAATTTGCCGCCCCTCTCCTTCCCCTTTTATTGAAGCACCAGTGTTGCTTTCAGAGCTTAAGAATCAGGTATTTGGCAGACTTTAGATACATCCAATTCTTAATTATCTAAAGCAATATGTAAAAGGATCCACCGTTAAAATAAACCCATAGCTGAATCCAAACCTTTAATTTAGCCAAAACTTTTACCTTAATCCTATCTTTTACCAGACTCGCTAATAAATAAGAGAGGTGGTTAGTAAGTAGTGAAGCTGCCAGGAGAAAGGATTCCGGTTGGAATTTTCTGAAAGTTGACTGTACTTTACACAGCAATTAGCCAGTTCATTGTTTCTGTGTCTTAGTACAAAGGGAATAGTCCCCAACTGGCCAAGAACTGGCCCTTCGTATTTCCTCCTTTCTCGCATGTGATAGGTAAGTTTTCAGGCTCCTTTTATGGCCTCTGTATCCCTATAGAGTTTGTCATTGACCTAAACATTGGAAAGAAATGCAAACCAGTATAAAATATTTGATGCTGGTAGAAACTAGAACTTTGTGTTTTCATGAGAATTCATTTATAAGCATATGTAATATAACTAAAAAGAATGTTTATGTATATACATACTTGTTATGAAGTATTAACAATGAGAGGGTGTTAGAATTTTGATGGCTGACTTTTCCTTGGTTGAACTGTGTTTCCTTGATCTGTGCATGCCCAAGTCTGGAGTCCAGGTGACCAATGATGAGATTTGGAAACACTTGAATGGAAAGTGACTTTTCACTGGCTTTATTTCTGGTATTTTTAAAGACTTATTTTGATAATTTTAATAGAGTGTGTAACTTTAAAACACACGAAAGAAAAACTTTAAAGTAGTATTGATTATACAGATAATTATTTAACATACCTTTTATGGATGTATCTATATGTATATAGACAGTAATATATTTATAAAACAAATATACTTTATGTTTAGCTGTCAGTTTGTGGTAGGTGGGAGGGTGGCTGTGTGTGTGTGTGTGTGTGTGTGTGTGTGTGTGTGTGTGTGTGTGTGTAAAACTATCGAGCTGTGTTTCCTGGTTGAAGGGCATTTGCCCTAAGGTATATTTGATTTGGGTTATTCTTTTTGCTATCCAACTTCCTTCTTCATGATGAAATAAGATGCACAGTTTTCTGGCCATTCTGTTAGTGGATGGCCCACCCATTTTATTATCATCCAACTCCCAAAGCATTCCAGAGTGACCAGAAGTCAAACAGGTCATAGCCATAGGGAGTGCTTATGTTCGAAATACATTAAATATGGGAGCCCGGCTAGGATGTTGGCTTCCTAGGTATATACCAACAAATACAACTCAGTATAAAATACATGAACTTCATACATGTATTAGAATAGAGAACGGGTGTGGAAGTAGAGGAACATTCATTAATTTAGATTAGTCTGGGAAACCCCCTAGACAAAGATTGACAAATTTTTTCTATAAAGGATTGGCTAGTAAATAATTCAGGCTTTGAGAATGAATGATATGGTCTCTGTAAACTACTTACCTTTGCCCCTACAGCATGAAATTAGCCACAGACAATATATAAGTGAGTCAGTGTGGCTGTGTGCAAAGAAAACTTAATTTACAGGAACACGCAGTCATTCAGATTTGGCCTGTGGGCCACAGTTTGCTGATCCCTGCCCTACCGGGAGAAAACAGACATGTTAAGCATTAAATTCTGATATATGTTAAGAAATAATTGTATTTCAGTTGACATAGAAAGAAAATCATTTATTAATGGCCTTCAAAAGAAGAATGTGACACAATCATATTAAAGCATCTTAATTCATTTATGGGTCCTACCAGCTCGTACCTATTATTTATTAGTGAGATTTCTTATGTTTAACCACCAAAAATAAAGCATTCTGTAAAAAGGTATTTTAGTAAGTATTGAAATTTTTTCATGAACTTTATATTTCTATTGATAAATGGGACTCCCTCACCTACCTTTTGTTTCTTAAGGGCCTCATGGACCAAAAATTCTGTTGTATTTTGAAAATTAGCATATAATTAACCACAAAATATTTTAAAGACTGCATCTATCAGTTACATTTTTCTGCTGGTTTTTGACTTCTAAAAAATGGATAGATAGGCCCTTCTTTAAAAATTGTTTTAAAGAAGATAAATATATTGTAATTTCAGATACTATATTCTGTGAGGTTACAAATTGTGACTAGTATAATGGTAGCTAAAAAGTGAATGCATTGACTGTATTGGTGTCTCTATAGGAAACAGAGTGTATCGCTGCTTTCGCTGTCCAAACCTTCGGTGTAGATTTTTTAAAGATGCCTTGGGACAGCCCTTGGTGAATGGTATTCTTAACATGATCATGTGTAATTTTAAATTCAATGGACGCACACCCTGCAGAGCATGTGCATTCAGTGTTCTATAAATTGTTACGTCAGTAACATCATTGCCATCAGTCTTGAACGTTGCAATCCACTTAAGTAGTCATACTTTCTTATAAAATTGGAATACAACTCAAGCTTTTACAGTAACTGGTTACTTAACATTTTTACTTGAATGCGTCTATTAACCTGCTTTTTACTTCCATTACAGTAATACTGTTGTATGTTAGGAGTGGCTTTTCCCCAAAGTCCTTAGTCTTTCAGATTTAAAAACAACATAAAGTTTTGACCATTAGCAGTTAAGAAAGTGTCTGCGCATATTTTAATTGTTTATAACATTTGTAACGTTTCACTTTCTAAACCATGGACCCAGTTTGCCGATTTTCCGTCCGGACATCTCAGATGAATAACAAATGGTTGTACATGAAAGCTTTTGAACCCATTCTTAATGCCGCTTGTGTCTCAAGAGAAAAGGACATTGGAGCAATGGTTTGTTTTTGTAAAGAATATGTTTTAGATTTCCTTAAAATTATAAATTTCCTAGCTGAGACGGAACACCCACAAACATGCAGGCTTCTGCAGGTGTGCACACAGCGTTGCAGGCGAGCCAGGTGACTGATGTGGTCTTTCCTTTTCCAAAGCCTAGTTGTATGCGGACAGCAGTTTCCGATCGGATCCTTCAAACCTTTCTTATAGGAAAATAAGGCAGAGAACATCCTTAGAACAACCATTTGATCAACTGATGTGATTTCTGTTTATCCTGTGTCTGTTCTGCGTGTTTCTGTAATGGAATTTTTACAACTCCAAAAAGCAGTATTTTAGACCTACTGGAAATCGTATCAAAACGGCTATGTGATTCTGCCTCTGAGAAAAAATAATTAAAAAATTCATTTTTCTTATGGTGGTTTGTTTTTGTTTCGTGAAGAAATGGACCTCATGCAGCAGCACAGGTGCTGTGTGCATCAAGGCACCCTTCCCTGGCCCACCCACCGGCAGCCGGTGGCTACTAACATGAGTCTCTGCAGAGAAGCCCACGTTCAGTTTCAGTGAGTTAGAGCCACGTTAGATCCTATGAAACGGGATTAAAGGCTCAGATCCGTCCGTGAGTAACCGAAGCTGTTTCTCTCTTCACCTTGAGGCTCCTGTGTCGCCTCCTGTGACCTGGAGGTCTTCATTGTATCGATCTTTCTAGTTTTCTGCATCCCTTGCATGAGTGAAGCTTAGTGCCTTACTAATGCCTGCCCTGAGTAGGCTTGTTTCCCTTTATGAATTGCAAATACTCTATTTCAAATATCGTCACAATTACAAAATGGTCTGTTGCTCTTGACGGCTTAACACATTCAAACTCTGTGTCAGTATATAGGAAACTATTTTATTTCAAGTAGCAGATTTTTCCCACTTCATTGTTCTGCAGACTTTTGCTTTTCTTATTTTTTTCCTAAAATTGCTTTTTGCCATTGTTAGGTATTTCTCTCTCTCTCTCTCTTTTTTTTTTTTCCATTTCTCTTCAGCTGTTTACCGGGAATCTTATGGATTTAGGTAATTTATTTCAGCTCCCTGAGCAGGTTTGATTTGATGTTCAGTTACAGTTAGCAGAGAACTCAGGATATCCAAAGCCAGTGTTAGGTGGGAGAGACGGAGCTGAGACGCTAGGGGAATGTTCGTTTAGGCTACAGTGTGGCCTAGAGTTAATAGTTTATCCCCCTACACGCCACTCCCTGCCCCTCCGAGTGGCTTTGTCTAAAGAGAAAGGACTCGTATATATTGATGAATCAAGTCATGTTTGGAAAGTGAGAGTTGTAAAAGCAACTATAATGGTGAACTTATTGAATGTATTCAAAACAAAATACCTATAGTTGCACCTCATTAAACATATGTACTTACTAATATTTGTGCCTCAAATACTGTTTTAGAGTTAATGATATTCATTAGGTGTTTATAAAGGCGTAAAGGACTTTTTTAAATCAACACTTTAAACATTTTAAGGTTTTTAAACTAACTTTCTAAAAATGCATTCCTCCCTATGTGCAACCATCAGCCTGTGGAGGCTGCATCCCACTGCATATACCCTACAGGTAGAGGGTAAGTTACTAACTGCAGGGAGTAACTGCCTATCACCTAGTGTGCTAAGACCGGGTAAGTTAAACCCTTTCAACAGGCAGGTCCTTAGTGTGTGTGCAATACAGGACAGCAGTTACGTGAATGCTAGGCATTTAAATACATAGTCATTTTGAGGTGTTCTTATTAGAGCCTTCCTGTCTATACAGTTACGTTGTGGAAGAATTTTAATTCTAGCAACCTTGCAATGTAATACATTCCATCGTGAGGCTCATTTAGAGTGACATTTTAACCTTTAAAGAGATCTTGAACCGAGGGCTAACAACAGCTTCTGCATAGCAAGTAAGAGGGACCTCAGAAACGGAGAGATAAACACCCCACCCCCAGTGCACCAACATGCAGCAGGGAGGTAGCACCGAGAGGCCCACACAGACTCGTCTGTCCTGGGGCGCCATGAAAAGACTGGTTTAAAGCGGATCTATTCCAGAAATAAATCCATTTACTAATAACTCTAGAGCCGTGGTCGGCAAACTGCGGCTCGCGAGCCATATGCGGCTTTTCTAAGCCTTAGGAGTACCCTAATTAAGTTAATAACAATGTACCTACCTATATAGTTTAAGTTTAAACAATTCGGCTCTCAAAAGAAATTTCAATCGTTGTCCTGTTGATATTTGGCTCTGTTGACTGAGTTTGCCGACCACTGGCCTAGAGCATGGGCCACACAGGAGGGGAGCTGCAGGAACTCCCCAGTGTCAGGTGAGGGCACCGCGTGTTGTGCGTCCCCTCCCCCCTTTGGCCACACAGGCAGCAGCACTATCCACGTGCCCTCGCCATCCCAGCACACCTGAGGCTCACCCCCGGGATTCCCCACAGCCTCTCCAGCCACAGTGCTGGGCTGTGGTACAGCTTACCCTTGGGCCTCCCCTTAGCCTGCCTCAGCTCCAGCTTTCATCCAGGCCACCAAGGTGGCTCCAGTGCCCTTACCTCTGAACTCCCCACACGCCCACCCTAGCACAGCTCCCACCCAGTGCAGCGAGCTCCAGGGACGCCCTACAGACCACTCCCGCTTCAGCTACAGCACCAGGGCTTAGCACAGCTTGCCTCTGTCCCGTGGTCTGAGCTCACTCCAGTTACAACGGGCCTGCCAGGGCTTTCCCAGCGCAGCGTGCCTGTGGGACTCAACCAGGGCTCACACATGCTCCAGGTAAAACTGGGTCCCAGGGTGCTTTGCACCCAGGACTTTCCACAGCCCATGCTTACGCCAGCTATACCTCCTGCCTCAGCCAGGCCTACTCCTGGGATTCCCTTTGGCCCAAGCCTGATATAACTACAGCCCTGGCTGCCCTCCAGCACAGGTTGCTGTTTCACTTAATTCATAGAAAAACAGAGAGAGAGAGCTAAAACGAAGAGACAAATATGCTGCAAAAAAAGAACAGAACAAAACTCCAGAAAAAGATAAGCAATCTACCAGATAAAGAGTTCAAAACAATGGTTATGATGATGCTCAACGAACTCGTGAGAGAGTAAACTCAGTGACAAAGAGAGAAAATATAAAGAACTTGTCAAAACTGAAAAATACAATAATTAAAATGAAAATACATTAGAGGCAATAAATAGCCAATTAGATAATGCAGAAGAATGAGTCAGCAAGCTGGAAGACAAGGTAGTGGAAGTCATCCCACTGGAAGACCAAAAGGAAAAAAAAATCAAAGCAAATGAAGATAATTTAAGGGACCTCTGGGACAACATCAAGCATACTAACATCAGGGTCCCAGAAGGAGAAGAGAGAGAGAAAAAGACAGTAAACATTTAAAGAAAATCTCTAGAAACTTTCCTAACAAGTGAAGGAAATAGACATCCAAGTCAAGGAAGCACAGAGTCCCCAACAAGTCCCCAAGACACATAATACTTAAAATGCCAAAAGTTAAAGATAAACAGAGAATCTTAAATGCAGCAAAAGAAAAATAGTGGTATACAAAGATTTCCCCCGTAAGACTATAAGCTGATTTTTCAGCAGAAATTTTGCAAGTCAGAAGGGAATGGCACAGTCTCTTCAAACTGATGAAAGCTTACCACCAAGAAAACTCTACCCAGCAAGATAATCATTCAGAACTGAAGGAGCGAGAAAAAGTATCCCAGACAAACAATATCTAAAGTTCATCATCACAAAACTGGCATTGCAAAAAATGTTAAAGAGCCTCTTTAAATTGAAAAGGCCAAAACTAAAAATAAGAAAATAGCCCTAGCCATTTTTCCTCAGTGGGTAGAGTGTTGGCCCATGGACTGAAGGGTCATGGGGTCAATTCTGGTCAAGGGCATGTACCTTGGTACAGGCTCAATCTCCAGCCCCAGTCAGGATGTGTGCAAGAGGCAACCAATCAATGTGTCTCTCTCACACCAATGTTTCTCTCTCTGTGTCTCTCCCCCTCCCTTCCACTCTCTCTAAAAATCAAGAAACCAGAAACACCAATCAGAAAGGATATATGCACCCCTATGTTCATAGCAGCACAATTCACCATAGCTAAGATCTGGAAACAGCCTAAGTGCCCATCAGTAGATGAATGGATTAGAAAACTGTGGTACATCTACACGATGGAATACTATGCTGCTCTAAAAAGGAAGGAACTCTTACCATTTGCAACGTCATGGATGGAACTGGAGAGCATTATGCTAAGTGAAATAAGCCAGTCAATGAAGGAAAAATACCACATGATCTCACTCATTCATGGATAATAGAGACCATTATAAACTTTTGAACAATAATAGATACAGAGGCAGAGCTGCCTCAAACAGATTGTCAAACTGAAACTGGAAGGCCGGGAGGGTTGGGGGGCAGGAGGTAGGGGGGTAAGAGATCAACTAAAGGACTTGTATGCATGCATATAAGCATAACCAATGGACATAAGACACTGGGGGATAGGGGAGGCTAGGGACTGTCTAGGGCGGGGGGATAAAATGGACACATATGTAATACCCTTTGTAATACTTTAAGCAATAAATTAAAAAAATAAAAAATAAAAAATAAAAAATCCTCAGGTGAGGATTAACATAAATAAATAAATAAATAAATAAATAAATAAATTTTAAAAAGCTCACTGATAAAGGCAATCCTATTTAATAGAGGGAATATGCTAATTGACCCTCACACCATCGCAAAGATAGCAGTGCCCATAGCCAATAAGGAGGGAATATGCTAATTACTGCCACGCCCTCAGAGATGGCAGCACCCACAGCCACAAGATGGCGGTGCTGAGTCCCCTCAGCCCTGCTGGGGCAGCAGGCGCACAGCAAGGCCAAGCCTGCCCCAAGGCGGGCCTGGCCTTGCTGCACGCCTGCCTCCAGAGTTCCCCAGTCCCCTCACCCCCCAGCCACTCAGGGCTGGCTTGAGGCACAGGCAAGCCTCGGATGGCAGCTGCCCAGCCGCCCAGAGCTGCCTGAGGCTCAGGTAACCAGGGCCGGCCAAGGCTCGTGCTGCCGGCAGTGGCAGCAGCAGAGGTGTGATGGGGGCATTGCCTTCCCCTAATCGCCAGGTCGCCTCCCACCTCTGAGGACTGTGAGAGGGGGCAGGCTGTGCTGAGGGGACCTCCCCCCTTTGCATGAATTTTGTGCACCAGGCCTCTAGTCATTTTATAAATATAGTGGATCAACCAACTATAAAGTTAGTGTGAAAGTTAAAGGCAAAAGTAGTAAAGGCATGTGTAACTACAGTAATAAATTAAGGAATACAATATGTACACACCCACACAAACACACACACACACACATGAAAAATGTAAAATATGATGTCAAAAACATAAATGGGGTTGAGTAAAAAATGTAGTGCTTTTAGAATGTGTTCAAA